TACTACCTTCTCAAAAATTTTGTCAAATATGGAAAGACTCACCCTGTATAAGAAACGAATATTTTAATAAATTCCCAGCGATTCGCTTTCCATAAGCGGAGAAAATCAAGCAACATTATTACAAAAAGCTTTTTCACGAAACAAAGAACTTTCGCATGAAAACATGGTACACTATACTTACACTCATAAACGTAAGATAACCGAATATTACAGCACCGGTGCTAAAAGTCACGCATAGCAATGCTACGTAACGAATTGCATGAGTCACTTCTCTCGCATACCTATAGATATTTGTTTTTAGAAAACCTTAATTCTCTTATGTCTTGTAATTACTGCATATAAATTTAAAAAAAAAATTTTTTTATATCTAGATTATGTACCCAAGTAGTAGGCTGTGCTCGCGCGTATATTTTAAAAGTTCTTTCATGTTCGTCATTGTACGAAACCGCACGGACAGAATTTCGAATCGGGCGGCTATAAACCAAAGTAGGAGCGCGGGGAAAGTATTGGCGCTAACTTGTATCACACTTTGGTAGGCAATTAGCATATGGTGTGCGTAAATGATACTTTTCAATGGCTGATATTGCACGTCGAACGGATACTGCACCTCGCACGGAAACGGTTGTGACGAGACCACAGGGGTCATTATAACGCTGATTCCTGTCATTGCCAACCAACCAAGTATACTACCTGCAGTAATCGACTTATATTATTAAAGACTTTGTTTTAACAGTTAAAAGTCTGAAGCTGTACATACCATAAAACGGCTTGCAATTGTCGATGTACTTTTGGAAAATTTCTTTTTCATACTTTTGCGCGTGTTGATAATAATCCTCCATTTCCAAAACGATATACTGCATTGTCAAAGCTTAAAGTTAATTAATTAGTTCTTTCGTTATTTTATAAATACAAAACATATTAAAATATTTTATATTATTCCCGAACAATAAATTGTCTAAATTGCATATAGTAATTATTAATTATGAAGCTAAACTTTAAAGGACAACGTAGAAAAAAAGTAATAAATATCTGTACCTCCGTTTAAACAACATACTTATTTTATAAGCAAACAGTTTAATCGTTAAATAAAAGGTTCGATTCGATTTCATGGTTTGTCCTGCGTAGACACAAGCAATTCCTATAGGTCTTTCATTTAATATAAATAAAAAATTTTACCCGCAAACGCTTGTTCTGCATCGAGAAGAGTATCAACTGCAATGGAACTTGCACCATGGCGCTGAATTGACATCCTAATTTCATCACTAGAAACACATCGTTGCTGTTCTCGTAAAGCGTCCATACTGCAAAGCTAGCGACTAGTACCGAATTCGCGACGCAAAAACACTGGAAGGCAAGGCGACCAAGCCTCTGGAACTTGGTCGCGTGCGGTGGAAGAGGCCAACAACAAGCGAATGTCAAGTATACCCTGAGAAAGGCTATTACTCTGTCCAGCGTTACCTCACCCTCCATGTTTAAGACACGATGGAAATTCAAGCTCTAGCACAGTACCGTAATATAATCACCCTCGCAACATTGCCAAGATAATTTGCCAGGGTGTAGACGCTATAATAACACTCGTGAGGCGCCAAGTGACGTACATGCGGTACATACGATATAAGCAACGTTATATTCTACCCTCGGTGTAGGGTGCATTGATTCCCGACAGATCTCAAAGTGTTTAATATATTATTGTATAAAGAATGTTATATCAACACTGATTACGTGTTCGTAATTCGTACTATGAATGTTCAGTTAAGCGATTGCAGTATATCGTGAAAAAAAATATAACATATTAAAAATAACAAATTTTAGCTTCGATATCGCAACATGTAAATTTTTGAACAATTTATGAAATTACTTTATGTCTTAATAAATCACATTTCATGCATAAGTTTTCACGCTTTAAAGCTACGTTGCTTTTAGAGATGTCAAAGCCTATGTAGAACACAATTCCTAAATTATTATTTTACTTATGACGTTACTTTTCGATAAGACTTCGAGGGAAGTTTCGCAGTATTGAATTAAGCTTCCGAGGATCGTAGTTGCTATGAATTGCTACTCGGAAAATTGATAGTGAGGCGATTTTTACAAACGTCTCATTAGATATCTTGCCTTTGACCACATTTCCCACCTTGTGAAATCGAGGAAGACGAAGACCGCTTAATTAATCATATGCATCGAGCACAACGCAGCCGTGCATTTACGCACCCTTTCAGACGCTACGCGCATGTAGCAATCTAACGGTGATTATCTACTCATAATTAAATCCAGTACAGTGAAGTATAATTAGCACGGTGAAGTGAAATTGCACGGGCCCTTGTCAGATTGCCTACAATGTATCGCAATAAAGGTAGAATGGATGAGATAAAGCTGAACGGAGACACGGTATATCTAGGAATATGTATATGTTATATAATTTATCAATTAATTTATATTTTTAGACAATGACACATCTTATCTATTATCTCGTCTAATCGCTTGGATTCTTTAATTTTGTTTTACAAGTAAGTTGAGACACTTAATATTTCATAGTGGAATCCAAATTAAAAATTTTTCTAAATATAAAAGGATACGATTATGTTTTTAGTAATATTGCATAATAATTTATATAATTACAGATTTATACGTATATTAGGTATATAATACATCTCTAAATTCTTAGACTCACATTTAACAACAAAGCAACTACGGTGTAAGTAACTCATATTTATCATTAGAATTATTTTATTATCTACTATAAGCGTTTAAACCCAAAAAAGAAAGGTACAAAATTAAAAAACTTTAATATTCTATTTTTAATACGATACGTATATGTATGTATTTGTATGTATGTATGTACGTATGTATAAAAAACAATCGATTTTTGGAACTAACAGAAAATAAATTGCAGTTATTTAAAATTGGAAAAATTATTTTATACACATCAGGAGTACTAAAGTTTCAATTTTCAAGCGATACACAAGTCGATTTTTCGTGCGAAGATGATCGTATCGATAAATGTATGATTTCAATTTAAAAGCAACGCAAATAAGAGTGATTTTACTTTTATTCAGAAATACTTTTTATAGTAAATATAATTACACAAAAACAAAACGCCACGCACAACATAAACAAATATATCGATAATTATCATATCTGCATCAATCAATCAATCTTCGTCACTTTCTTCAAGTATAATTCGAAAAGTGGCCAGATAGGAAAAGGCAGTTGAGATGTACTAAAATATATTGCACACCATTTTCTTAATTTAGATAGCTTAAATAATTAATTATATTAAGTAATAAAAGGGATTTTGCTGTATATAAATAATAAATATTAAAAAAATTTTTTTCATATGTATTACAAAAAATAAAAGATTTTCTTTGTGAAAAACATATTTTAAAAAAACATATACATGTATGCATGTATAAGTAATTTTTTATTTATGTGTATTTTCGAAAAGAATAAAAATAAATATTTGTGCGGGATAACAGGCACGATATTATCTCAAGCACGTGCGTCTTTGAAGTGTACAACGACACAAAATAATACTGAATTAACAAAAGTACTGTAATAAAATCAATAACTCACTGAGGCATAATAATTTAACGAAACAGTCGGTAACATGCAAGGTACGTTTACGGCTATAGGCTGTTGGGCACGCAATAGGGTATGCACAAAATTCTTCTGGAAATCAACTTTCCCGTCATACCACATTGAATCATACGCAGCGTGTGCAACATTGGTGCTCTAGAATATTAAGTTCTAAATGTATCGAGCTCCTTTTACAATCCCTACATATAAACGTAACTTACTGCACTCAACAGATGATCAGCTGGCCACGCACACAAATATACTTTTGCGAGAGATGAAACGAAAAAAATTAAGAACGTTGATTTTACTGACATTGGTTGTCGCTATCAATGGAGAAGATTGAAATAGATAATATACATATGTGACATTTCGTCAAACGATATTGAAATATTCTTTAAATTGACATATGCGACTACCATAAATAAACTATCTTGCAGAAATAATGAGAAAATTATATAACAAGGGTTGTACGTGAAAATAGAAACAAAAAACTAATAAAACAGCGTGATGCTTAATATCAATTTTCTACTAATTAAAATAAATTTTTGTACTCACGCTAAGAAAAGTGCAACCAGTAAAAATTATAACTACCGTACTAACAGCTAACGACGCTAACATTACATATCGAACAGAAAGAGTAACTTTCCTTCCATACCTACAATGATACAGTTCTATCAAAATCTTACAAAAAGAATTAAATTATCTTATATTCTTATGTCACTTGTGTTCCTTTTACAACAATAAATATTACTTAGCAATAAATAGAATAAATATTTGTTTTACATCAGAATCAGCCCATTAACACATTTTAAACTGCATGCAAGAATGATTAATGTTATCGATATATCTTAGTAAATATATCTCAGATTAGATAAAACCACATAAAACTTAATTTTAGATTAATTAATTTTGGACTTAAATTTAAATTTGAGATTTCTATTGACTTGTTGTTAGTACAAAGTACTATTACAAATAGCAATTTCAACGATTTATAATAAAGTCGAAACTTTGCAATATTAAAGAACCTTTTTTAAGATGGTGAGATTTTTACATTATTTTATGTATAATATTAATTAATAGAGAGGAAACATGGACAATAAAGCAAATATTAAAAATAATGAGGTAAATGTGTAGAAAATTTGAACTTTGATTATTATTTACCATAGTAACTCTTGATGTTCAGTTATACACGCACGCAACTCGGTAATTTTCGTGACAGCTCGGAATCTATTTGATAAGATGTCACATCTCGCTGACACAAACCACAATAGAAGTGCGATAAAAATATTTGAGCATACCTGCGTATAACTTTGATATATGAGTAATATATGATGTATATAAATGATAATCTTTAACGGTTGATAGTCCACGGAAAACGGATATTCTATATCGATGGGAAAGGGATGGGGTTCTACCACAGGACTGATGATGAGTAACAAGGCAGTAACGGTGAAGGCGCATACTGAACCTATATAAATCGATTTACAACTGTCAATATATCGATGAAAAATGGTCCTCTCCTCTGGTTTCGCTTGCTTGCAATAATCTTCCAATTCGTAAATTACGCACTGCAATGGAATCGTCATTACGATTAAACAACGAAGTTCGTGATATAAACGAAGATACAAAAGGACATTACCCTATTGATTTATAGCAGCTAGTCTATTTTAATATTTGGATTGATAAAAATTAATCAATTGATACTAATCTACTAACAATAAGTTGACAGTATCTAAATCTAATTTTCTCAAATTTAATACAAACTTCACGAACGGAAGCAAAAATAAAACTTAAAGAATACACTTGAAAATGATTCGTTGTCGTTATTGTTCAAAGCGTATCAAATCTATGAATTATTCTTATTAGTTCTCTATATGTATACATATTTAGGTAACTGTAATATAGAATAATGCCATAGCTTCTTACTTGGAGACGATCGTATTGAATTGAGAAGCAAATTATTTGTAAAGGAACCTCAGTAGTGGTGCACAATTCACAGCATAATTTCATTATCAAAAATAAATCTGACCGGTTTCTGTAAATCGTATACACTATCGCGACCACCATGATCATTCCGTGCAGGATGGAGAAGTAACGGAAGAACTTATTACGTATTTTTTCGCATTTTGTGGCGGTCGGTGGTAACGGCCAGCAACAAGCGAACAGCAAATCCGCCTTCAAAAACGCAATAAGTTTCTCCATCGTTAGTGCACTCGCCATAACAATTGCTCGTTGAATTCTACCGTTACAGTTACACAGCGTGATCCGAACTAACTTTGTCAGAAGCGAATTCCTCGCGTGTTAAAGACACGCGCGTATTTAATTTATCACCCACGTGTACTAGCCGCCGGCAGAAAATTTCTTCGTGGTATAATACAAGCAACCCCTCTCATATATATTCCCACTTTGTAGTTTTGCTTCGTGCCAGAGCCGCGCATAGGTTTACGAATTATTCAACTAGCAAATAATGTGTACTGACGCTGAACCCCCTAATAGTACAATTATATTATTTTCCTACGTCCCTGCAATTGTATTATTTTCCTGCCTCCCTACACGAATACGCGTAATCTCACTACGGATATAGAATGGTTTGGCGACGATGGAGCAGAGAAACATGTTACGATAATAACTCCGTCAGTATATAATATACAATGTCGATACGTGAAAGACTGCCAGCATATCAATTCTTTTTATATCTAGTATATTAGATGATATTAGCAGACAGTTGTTTAATCGTTATAAAAATTGTGGAAAGTTTTGAGAAATCAATCCTTTCTTACTCCTATATCACTTGTGTATTAATTATCTGGTAAATTACTTAATTATATTATATTTATTATGAAAATCGCGGTGTCAATTTAGTTAGATTCATATTTGAAAATCTGCATACTTTCAATAAGATTAACAGTGCACGGAAAAAACTATTCGGTTATAGCAACCAGAAATATTCAGTTGGTACAGATTCAGTTGCAATAGCATCAAGTCTTTTTGCACTAATTGAAAGACTGTTTATACCAACAAATGCTTTCGGTTCGAAGAATCAAAATTTTCTGTTACTAATGTGCTGTTACCATAACAGAATATTCAGCTATAGAGAAAAGAAAACTCGTTTTTAGCAACGAAAAATTCTGTTAATTCAATTTCAGTTGCAGTAACATAAAGTCTTGTTACACTAACTGAAAGCCTGTTCACATCAACAAACGCTTTCAG